TACTGTTGCCCCGCTTGGCAATTGTAAGTAAATACTTTTCCTCCCCCAGAAAAGCTTGACATAGTTCAATGTCTCACTCTTAACATCCCTAAAGTCTCTAGTTATTTAAGGTAAACTATTTCCAAACTGGGAAAAGATAATTCACTCAATTGTGTACTCACATCCTTGCCCACTAGAGGGCAGGCACTGTCTCCTGGAATCCATAGCTTTCCCTCTGTGCTTAATGTGCTCTTAAAATTTCTGAGAGGAGAAACCAATAGGAGAGAGAGAACAAAAGGGAAATATCCTGCCATGGAGGTGAGATGGGATGGGGGTGGGTGGTGGTGGGGGAATACTGGGATCATTGGGGGTGGAGAATGGGCACTGGTGGAAGGATGGGTACTCCATCATTGTATAACTGAAACCCACGCACAAAAACTTGTCATGTCCACAACTGTATCTCATAGTATTTCACTATTAAAAAAAAAATTCTGAGAGGAGTAAACCACCACTACTGTCTGGTGTGACCCCAAAACAGAATATGCCGGGGCAAACAGTACAGCTTGTACAGTGAGTAGGGCATTTGCCTTGCATGCAGCTGACTGGAGTTTGATCCCAGGTTCCCAAATGGTCCCTCAAGCCTCGCCAGGAGTGATTCTTGAGTGCAGAGCCTAGAGTAAGCGCAGATGTGGCTCCCAAATAAACAAAATCCCCTAAGGGCCATCAATAATCCAAGGCTTGGCAGAGATTCTCTAGGACCCTGTGCAAAGTTGGGATCCAGGGCATCCCAGAGGGTGTTGGGTGACCCCAGTGCCCACCCAAACAGAGCCCCAGCAGCCAAAAAGCTCCACACTCCACAATCACTGTCATGCTCCCGGCCAGACTCCCTTCTCAGGACGAGCCTCACTCAGGAACTAATCTGCTGAAAAACTCAGGTATGTGGGTGTTGTGACCTTCCCTCATTTCCCTATATTTCCAGAAGCCCCAGCAGTCAGGCACACACCCCATAGCTGCCACCCTGTTAAAACTTAACTCCATCTGTATCACCCCATTAGTAATTTCGGATTTCCTGGAGCAATATTCAAACATGATAAACCAGGAATAGCATACCAGGTTGGATGGGATATTATGTAAAAGGCAGCTTATCTCAGTTAACAAAATATAAACACAGAAGGCTGAACCTGTATCAACATTTTAGTAATCTCTTATACAAGGACTTATAGGCTCCATGATGAGGTATAACAATCTTCCCTCACATTCTTCTAAGGAAACTTCTTTTTTGATCATTCTGTTAGCAGATTATTGATAAAAAGCAATGTAAAATAGATTATTGAGGACCTGCTATGGGGGCACACTTAAGGGGTGATTGGGAAAATTGGAGACAATGGTGGAGGGAAGATGAAAATGATTGGTGTGATTGGTGTTGGAATATTAAATGTCTGTAACAAATCATCATGTAAGCCACAGTGTTCTTATAACATGTAAAGAGAAAATAAGAAAAAAAAGAAAAACAAAGTTCTGAGGATTGAGGGGGCTGGAGTACAGTGGATAGGGCATTTATTTACCTGGCACAGGGCCAAGTTGGGTTCAGTCCCAGGTATTCCATATTATCCCCTGAGTAGTGATCCCTGAGCACAGAGCCAGGAGTAACCTGAGCACTACTAGGTATATATAGATATGTATGGCCCAAAACCAAAATGAACAAAACAAAAAGTTTGGAGATGGGGAACTGGATAGATAGTATAGCAGCAGGCTAAGATTCAATCCCTGGCACTTCTTCTGGTTCCTCAACCCTTGCCAGACTTGATCCCTGTGAAGTAAGCCCTACACATTGCCAGGTATCGCCTCAAAACAAAACGAAAATTGAGAAGAAAAAAGTTCTTAGAATGATCTTGGAGTTACCTATTTTAGTTGTGTTGGTTATGGAAACATGTCCATTCTCTGTGTTCTTTGACCATATATATGACACATAAGAACGGTCTGTTTATGTAAAATAATGTGAGTTAATGTCTTTTTTAAATGTTTTATTAATGTAGAGAAATACTGAAGAGAAAAAATAGCCTGTGATTCCACAACCCAGGTACTTGAAAAAAATAATGTGAAGATAGTTAGAAAAGTTACACTGAATAGGAAAGGACATAAAATATGAAGTTATTATCTCCAATCCCTATCTTGAAGAATTTCCTTTACGCTTGCTTTTTACTCGTATTTTATTGTTGTAGTTAAACAACATATCTACAGTCATGTTAACATCCATGGACAGTTACCACCCACCCTTCCCATCACCAAAATTTTGAGGACCCTCCACCAATGCCGTGATGTTAAATGTTAAAAGACTTATTGACCCTGCCCAAGCTTATTTTTAAGTATAATAAAATGGAACCTGTGTTTTCTGTGCCTACTCTTTTTTAATTCATATTTCAGACTTTCTTACACTATCATTAAGATGTACCTTATCCTTTTTAAAATGCTGGTTTTTAAATGCCTGCATTGTGATTTTATGTGGTCTTTTTCAACTTTTTCACACATGCAGATAAGTACCTGCTGGGTTCACAGACCAATTGAGAAACACTGCGTACTTTGACAAAATAAATTGAGTGATGAACAGTTTTGTTATGTCTAGTGTTTGACCATTTTATTCAAGTCTGCAGTGACTTTTTTTAAATAGTTTTTTTTTTGCATCTTTGTAAACGTACACACTATCAATTACTCGAAGTACAATAAACTGCTTAAAGAATATGCAGGTTTAAAATTTTGATAAATATTAACACGACCTTTGTTTTCAGGAACTCCAGTTGACTTTTTTGGTGTGCAGTTTTCTCCTATAATATGTTTTCATCCTCAGCATTAAATGAGTTGTAAGGTACATTCCCTCCCAGTATGTTTAGGGAGAAATTGCAATGATGAAGATAGACTCTTAAAAACAACTGACTTAAACCATTTTCAAGGAATTGACCTCACATCAATATGGTATTTCTTACCAGTTGATTTCCAGGGAGCAAGTCCTTTTGTTATCCCCTTATGCCTTTGGCAAATCATGCAGAAGCAAATTTGGTATCATAAACATCACAAGGGGTTTGAAGCCAGATAGTGTTGGATCTTATTGAGTCTGCTACTTGCATGATAAAGTAATTGGCAAATTTTCAAGCCACACTTCTGTCGACTTTCTCCTTTTTAAATGAAGATAATTGTACTTGGGTTTACTTGATATTAATTACTTGGTAATACCAGTATATGATACATGGGTATGGGGAGGAAAGTGAGTACTTAGGTTAATATCATATTAACTTATGTTTATGTTAATTATTCTCTTTTCCTTCTTCATTCACATGGCTTTGTTATATTATCTCTGAGTATGGTATGTAAGTTGTTGGAGAATAGTTTTGTTGTGTGCCAAACTTTATAATCATAAATAACACTTGTTTTTTGTTTTTTAAATAACACTTGGTCTTGATTCAGAGGTTTGTTCTGTAGAACTGAAGTCACTCCATTCACAGTGAGCTGTTTGCTCTCTTAGGAGTTGGAGGATCAGAGTTTACATTCCTGGAACTTAGGTCTTGGCATATGCATTGATCCAGTCAAGTCAAGTTGAACAAGTCTTGTTTTGATACAGTGTTCATTTGGTGACTGTCAGACTCTTACATTATGGGTGGGGAGGCAGGAGTGACTCTAGCCTTTCTACTTAGAACCTTTAGTTGTTTATTTGATTCAACCAAAACTGATGATCAGTAGTTGAACTCCTGAACTGAATTGCACCTGAAAATAGACTCCACCTACTGATTTTGTTTGCTTCCTATTTGTATTGAGTTATTTAGCAAGAGTTTCGCTAAAGCAAAATGGGTACTCCTGATCTGATAGGAAGAAAGAGGATACTGCAGAGGGGGAGAGATGGCAGGGGTGGTGGGGTGGGGTGGGAAGAAGAACTGCATTCTACTGGGACTTTTGAGGTAAATACTTCAGAGTTAACTAATTCAGGTTACAGCAAATTGGGCCATTTTTTTTGTGCTTGATGGTGCTTGCACAGCTGTGATGAGAATCAAACAAGGTCCAAGAGGGTGTGACATTGTCAAAAGTATCTGCCCAGAAACAGCAGATTGCTTATGACACCTATACTAAGGCAGGCCCCAAGTTTAATTCTTCCCTAGAGCCAGTTAGAGAAATCAAATCCCTCACTTCTCTGAGATGAGATCCCAAAGTGTAACTCTCCTATATTCCTGAGCCTTTCAAAGATAAACATACTATGATCTCATATGCTATGTCACTGTCACTGTCCCTGTCCTCCGGTTGTTCATCGATTTGCTCGAGCGGACCCAGTAACGTCTCCATTGGAGACTTTGTTGTTACTATGCTTGGCATATCGAATACATCACGGATAGCTTGCCAGGCTCTGCCGTGCGGGCGAGATACTCTCGGTAGCTTGCCGGGCTCTCCTAGAGAGGCGGAGGAATCGAACTTGGGTTGGCCATGTTGGTTGCGTGCAAGGCAAACGCCCTACTGCTGTGCTATCACTCCAGCCCCATATGCTATGATTTTTTAAAATTCCTTTTATCACTCAGGTTGTCACATTGAGCTGAAATTTGTCTGACAGTTCATAAAATTGTGGAAAAATGTATTGTGGTCCTGTGGGTGGAAAACCATCACAGAAAGAGAAAGGCACAATTGCATTGAGCTCTTTCTGTTGGGTTGCTTTAAAATTCAGGGACATTGTTAACATAAATTGTGGCATTTTCATAATCCATTTTATATTTGAAGCATAATCTCTTACTTTACATTTTTCAAGTAATTTATTGTTCTTAAAAAACCAGGGTATCATGTTTTAACTTTTTAATAGTGGCGTTGTAGCTTAAATCTTTAAAAGATGATACTGCTTCAGCCAAGTTTCTGTGTAGAACTATAGCACTGTAGCACTGTTGTCCCATTGTTCATTGATTTGCTCGAGCGGGCACCAGTAATGCCTCAAAGTTTCTGTGTGTACCACATAATTAAAATGTTAACTTGCACTACCTTAATATTTTTTTCAGGAAAATATTATTTTTATGATAACTACTTTGATCTACCAGGAGCACTTCTATGTGCCAGAGTTGTGGACACTTTAACAGAGGTGAGTGAGGACACATCTTTTAGAAATTGTGATATGTATTTAGTCATAAATCAGAGGGCTTGATTATATATTTTTAGTTGAGTGTTGATTTTTATATGGTGCTTACTACTGGCTCTATGCCCAGGGATAGCTCCTATTGGTGCTCAGGGGACCATCTGGGGTGTGGGGCATCAAACCTGGATCCACCACATGCAAAGTAAGGGCCTTACCCTTGTTACTGTCTATTAGTTTTCTCTTCATAGTTTCAGAGACAGAAAGTTGGAATTTAATAAAATATTTTTACTGAAGAAGAAAATTGGAATTTGGTAAAATATTTTTAGAAAATAAATGGTCATGGTCATTTTATGCAGGACAATAAAACTACTATCTAGTAAGGGGTGCAAAAGCATAGAAGAAAATACTTAATCACTTAATCACTTAACTTCCCGGAAGTTAGTCGTCGATTTGCTCGAGCGGGCGCCAGTAACATCTCCATTTGTCCCTGTCGCGTGCTAGTGTAGCCCAATGGTATCTCTTCGCTCCGGGAACATGAAGGGCCTCAATCGTTCATGATCGTTCATGATCTTGACGAAGAAGTCTGACCATCTGGTAGGTGGGCGGCCACGCGGTCTCTTGACATCCCGTGGAATCCAGTCAGTAACAGCTCTAGTCCAACGGTCGTCTTTAAATCTCATTACGTGACCAGCCCATCTGATTTTCGACACCTTGGCAAAGGAGACAGCGTCCCTGATCCTTGATCGTCGACGGATGTCAGAACTCCGGATTCTTTCTCTCATTTGAGTGAAACGTGATATTCCAAGCATAGCTCTTTCTAGTCTTCTTTGGGAGACCTGAATAGCATTCTCATCTTGTTTGCTTAGGGCCCAGGTCTCTGAGGCATATGTTAATGCAGGAAGAACAGTGGAATCAAAGAGATGTGCCTGGAGCCGGAGGTTCTTCGTCCTCTTAGCTATTTCTTTGACGTTCTTGAAGGCGTTCCAAGCCGCTCTCTTCCTCCTGCGCAGCTCGGGTGCCAGGTCATTTGTCATGTTGACCTCTCGACCTAGGTACACATAGCTGTTGCATTCGGATATGGTCGTTCCATTGAGAGCGAATGGGGCGTCAGGAACAAGGCTGTTTCTCATAAACGTTGTCTTCGTAAGATTCAGCTGTAGTCCTACCTTTCCACACTCACGGTCAAAGTCGGCCAGCATTTGTGCCGCTTGGCTGATGTTTGGTGTTTTTTTTTAATAGAAGAAAATACACAATTTAGATTTGGAAAAAAATAGATTCATGGTTTTATTAGGAAAATAAAATAAAAAGTAAAGATAATTAGGATAGTTCTATGTATAATTAGAAATGAGATGGCTGCTTTAAGTTCATCATTTTGTGCTTAAATTTAATGCAGTCATACCTTTGTATACAGTGATTGAGATTGATTATCAATTGAGATTGATTTCTGATAATCAGTTTATACTTAGAACTATAAAAATGAACCAGTTCTATGTCAGAATCATTTTTGTATTTGTTGTATTTTTAAATCCTGATGATCATATTAATAAATAACATAAGTTATAGTTTATATTTAATCAGAACTACAATGGTGTGAAAAAATATTGAGCAGTAATGATTTTTTTGTGTCAGTTTTTATTAACATTAGAGTCATTTTCTTATTAATAATGCATTCAAGTAGATGTTTCCATCTTTAAATGTTTCCAAGGTACAATTACATTGAGCTCTTTCTGTTGGGTTGCTAACAATTTGGAAATTTGGAATTTTTTAAATCTCTCCTGTAGACTTATTGCTGCTTCATGATGGAAATGTAGGTGAATGTGTCCTGAATTTTAAATAGTCCTCTTTGGGGGCTTTTGAAACCCTTAAAAAAATTCACTCTTTTAACAATGTTGATGCTGTAGTGTATAACATGACATATTCTATTATCTTGGAAGCAACAACCTTGTAAATTTACTCTTGTGTTTAAAATAGTCTGTTATTTTTAGACATTGTGAAAATTTTATTTTCATTTGGGGTATCTGAATTACATTATATTTAGTTGTAATAGTTTTATCTTTGTAATAGTTATCTTCACAGAGATTTTCTAAAATCATGGTTGAAAGAATGAAAGTTTATTAGTCTTGGGTTTCTAAATCACAAGTCCTTATTTTATAATACGCTGATATGTAGCTTTTTCTCAGCTGTTTTCTATTTTGCTTAAAAAGAATATTAGTGGATTTGTTATATTTGAAATTTTTCTTTTAGCACAACAATGGTCAAAAAACATTTGATTTTTGGAAGGACATAGTTGCGGCTATACAACACAATTATAAAATGTCAGCATTTAAGGGTGAGTAATATGAAGACAGATTTTTAGTAAATGTTTATTAAATGCTTTGTATTTAATAAATTACTTAGAAGATATGTTTTTCTATTTCTTAATGAGGATTTAATCTGATCTTAAATTGTGCTATAATGTATAAAGAGCTTGAATTTGGAAGGTTCTTTTATTTTAGACTTTTCATTACCCTAATGGGTAGTGTTCCTATCAGGGTTATTTTCTACATGCCTGCCAATCAGATCATTCATTGTGTTTTCCAGAAATTTCCAACTTTGCCATTTCCTGTTTTAGGAATTAGACTTGGTGACACCTGTAATCATTAGTGTAGTAGTTACAGGCAGGTAGGAGAAGTGAAAATTCCATTCTTGGTGTTTAAATATAGGACTGACTGGTCCAGGATGGAGACATAACCTTCGCCCCAGGCTAGGATATGACAGTTCTGCCCATAGATTTGCTTGGGTTAAGCACAAATTATTTCTAAGAAGCAAAGATACCACTGTAGTATGTGTGCCCTAGGGACTTGAACCAGATTATTCTTGATTGTTAGTTGCTCAAGAGCAGTGTTTCTTCTTTTAGAAAAATACTGCCATTTGATTTACATTAAAAAAAAACTTGCCTTTTAATGTAATTTAAGTCATAAAAGTAATTCTAAATATTATGATTAAAAAACATATCAGAACAGCACTCAGTTACTGTAATATTTGCTCAAACTTTGTTTCTCTGCCACCTGCTTTTGTTGAAGAGAATCATTGTTTCCTGGTGTGTATCTCCCTCTTCTGTGTCCAGTCTCCAGGCCTGGCTCAGAGTCCCATGTGCTTCCGAGCGGAGTCTTTGCATAATCTACACTGAGTCCTCAGGTGTGTGAAAATTCCTCTCTGAGAGACCATCCCTGATAACTGTAAAATCTATGCACCACATTAATTGCTTTACTTTTTACTTACCTTTAAAATGAAAATCACTAGAAGAATAATTGAGTATAACAAGTAGCTGCTGTTGAATAAATTTAGCATGAAACTCTGTTTATTGATGGTATTACATTGTAAATAAGTAGATAAAACATTTCGTGCTTTAATAAGTGAGGCATTGCTTAAAAGTTTTAAACAGTATTATAAAAAAATACAGTACAGAGCATAAATAAATAATGTCCTTTCCTTTCTAGTCAGATATTAAAAACATTAGTGTTAGTCATAATTTCACTGTAATAGAAGGCACAATATTCCACTGTATTATTAACCCACAAATCCATATTACTTAAGTTAGCAAGGAATTAAGGAAAACCCGGTTACGTTTGTGTTGAATGAAAGGCAGGCATCTAGTTCCGAATCGTAAAGGGTATTTAGAAAGTTAAACCGCAGTCACAGGAAGTTGTGAAAAGATTCATGACTAAAGCACCTTATTTCAGATTAATATTAATTTAACAGATAAATTTTAATGTATCATTTTGATTCTTCTGAAAGCTGTAAAAAGTTGTTAGGTGCCTGTATTTTTGAGCAGACTTTGATGAAAGGTCAGGATCATATAGGCCTTGAGGTTAATGCGGTATCAGAAATATCTTTGGTTCTTCTGTGTCTTTCAAATTTGAATGTTCAAATATTTATGTTCTTTCATGATATATGATACCTCCTGAGTATTTCCTAGAATCTTGCCTCAGTTGTTAGAGTGAGGCTTATTTTAAATGGATAGTGCCAAGTTTCTGATAGCAAATTTAGCAATTTAAAACATCACATTCCAGTGTTTTTAAATATTATTTTATATTAGCTGGACTTTCATGGTGAAGCTCACATGTATTTATTTACTTATTTACTTTTGCCTTTTGAACCACACCGGGCCGTGCTCAGGGGCCCCTGCGGTAGCAGGGTTTAAACTCGGGCTTCCTGTCTGTATGCAGAGTCTCCTGTTAGCCTGTTGAGCCTCTCCTGGTGAAACCCGTAAAGACTGATGGTATTTACAAAAATTTTAAAGAATCTTTGGATTGCTTTGGGAAATTTAAGGGGGATTTCATGTATTTATCACTGATGCACACTTTTTGGTGGTGATGTGGGGAGCGAGGGATTTGTTGGCTTAAGCCTATAGTTTAGAAAACTTCAGTATTGAAGCATTTTCTTCAGCCTACGTTCATATGCATTTTGTGGGGTGGATGGGGTCAGGGGAAGCCTTTTCAAGCAGATTTCTATTAGCTCATTGAGACCACACTCACAGTGGCGCCACCAAGAATCCTAAGAAAGTGGAGTCTGCATACTTGGAAGAGTGGAGGCTGTTAGGGGCAATGTGGGGCATCTGGACCCACACCTGGTCCTTTTCCTTGAGCTCCAGGATGGTACTCCCTGAAGACTGATCCATATAGCCTTTGGTGGACTCAATATAGGAGTACATTACTGGTTGGTTGTTCTTATACAGAGCCACCCAAACTTGGATCCCTTTCACATGCATGTGGTAGGAGAAATAGTATATACCCGGTATCTTGCAGTTGAAAATCCCAGTTCTTGGGTCATAATGCTGCTGCTTGTTATACATAATTTTATCGAACGCAATGGGTGTACCTCTTAGTGGGTAAGTTTCGGCAAGAACAGCAGCGAAAGCTGACACTGGCATGCCTGCTGCGCCCTGGTTAGTGCTGCCAAAAGACATGCCAGAATAATAGGGCTCTTCTCTTGTCTTTGTAGAGCCAGGCTGGTCTCCCCTTGTAATACTATACACTCTAGCCTGGGCTGCAGGACCTGGGGGCCCCGGTGGCCCTGGGGGTCCTCGCTGTCCCGGATAGCCTCTGGGGCCTTGAGGCCCTGGTGGCCCAGTGGGTCCTTTGAGGCCCTTAGTTGTCATGCTAGCCGGCCCAGGAGGACCTGGAGCTCCTCTGTCCCCTTTAGTTCCGGGAACCCCTGGAATCCCTGGCGGCCCAATGGGGCCTGTGATGCCAGGTACCCCATGGGCACCTCTTGGACCAGCCTCACCTTTAGATCCAGGCACTCCCTTAGCTCCCGCTGGACCCGCGGGGCCGGGCATACCAGGAGGTCCTCTAACTCCAGGTTCACCTTTGGGGCCTGGTAACCCTGGGTTGCCCTTAGAACCACTGAAGCCTCGTTCTCCTGGTGACCCTGGTTTTCCTTGTAGCCCAGGGGACCCTTTTTCTCCCCTGGCCCCAGGGGGTCCCACAGGCCCTACAGGCCCTGGCTCACCTTTGGGACCTGGCATCCCTGGCTCTCCTGGGCTGCCTTTTGGTCCCTGGGGACCCATATTCCCAGAGCTTCCAGGTGGACCCGGGTCTCCAGGACGTCCTGCTGAACCCTGTTCGCCTTTGGTACCTGGCTCTCCTTGCAGGCCAGGAGGTCCTCTTTGTCCCTTCAGGCCTGGCAATCCCGTTTTCCCAAAGCCTGGAGGCCCTGGGGGGCCAGTCAGTCCTGGAGCCCCAGGGAGACCCTTCGTTCCTGGAATCCCAGGCCGGCCTGGGGCTCCAGTGGCTCCTGGCTTTCCCGCACCTTCTGGTCCCCGACTCCCAGGAGGGCCTGGAGGACCTGGTGGGCCAGCCGGCCCCTTTTCTCCGGGGGAGCCTTGACTACCTTTGATGCCTGGCTGCCCTGGGAACCCATTTTCCCCTCTTTTACCCACTCCAGGGGGACCGGGGGGCCCCATGGGACCCTGAGGGCCCGGAAGGCCCCTCTCCCCTGGGCGTCCAGGAACTCCATAGCCCCTGTCACCTTTCCGGCCGTTTGTACCAGGGGTTCCTGGCACTCCAGTTTCTCCTGGAAAGCCCCGAGGACCAGGGGCTCCCGTTGGGCCCGGTTGTCCAGGTTTCCCTGGAGTGGAAATTCCAGTGGGACCAGGGAGTCCTGGTGGGCCTGGTGGCCCCCGCGGGCCTGGTAAGCCGGCCGGGCCAGTGTCTCCTTTCGCCCCATTTGGCCCTCTGTCCCCTGGCTTTCCGGGGAGGCCTGGTGAACCTGGCTTCCCTGTGGCCGACTGTCCCGGTGGTCCCGGCATTCCTGGTTCTCCTTGAGGTCCGGGACTTCCATAACCTGGTTTTCCTGGTGGTCCAGTTGGACCTTGGTACCCTCGAGGTCCAGGGGGGCCTGGTGGGCCAGGAACACCTGGCTCTCTTCTTCCTGAAACACCTAAAAGACACGACCAGTACACCGAGAAGAGGTTAGTAATGTTCAGGATAATTGTTGCTTCTACCTGTTTCAGTTCAGTGTTACATCAGTTAGTTCTTATCGGCAGCCTATCAATGATAGACTGTCTTTTATGTTGTTCTAAAAACCACGAAGCCTATGGTGATCATATTTCCACTATAATCCTTGGGGGGAGGGGGGAGGAGTTGAAGAATTCATATAAAGTTTCCCAAACTTACTTGTCTTACTGCTTCTTAAAAAAAAAATCACTTACTATTCTCCGTGGAAATCTACCTTCAAGTCAACAAACAGAAAATGACTACCCTACCTCAAAACTAAACCTGCAAACTACACCTCCCCGGCTAATATCCTCTGTAGGAGTTGTATTGCGAAGTGGTATTTCCTCCTGGGAAACACTGATCTGGAATGAGAGTAACCGAGGTGAAAGCATACTTATTTTGGTAAAGTCATCTATCTTAGAAAGGGCAGGGATGATGTTTGATAGAAAAGGAAAAATAAGACAAGGGCAAGATAAGTGGGGAAAAGTTTTAAGAACTGCAACAGTTTTGTTTCACAAAAGCTAAAGTGATATAACAAGAGTTCAGTTGATTCTGATTTGCATCTGTCATGCTTCTACTCACTATAGTATGAAATAGGCAATTGGACCACAAGTGTGGGAAAAGTTCAGGGTGCATCCTTTAAGAGGTCAGTCACAGAAAGAATAAAACAAATATATTTGCAATAAGTACTTTAAATAAGAGATGTAGAAGAATGATTTTAATCTTTCAGTGGCAACAGTCTTGCCATCATTAGGCTATTCCATTAGGGAAATATTGATATATAAAGAATCATAAGTGTCCACGTAAAATATTTAGTGTCATAGAATTTGTTTTCTTCTTTGGGGGGGAGCTGTGGAATCAACACCCAGTGATGTTCAAAAACTATTCCTGGTTCTGTTCTCCATCATGACCCCTGGTGGCGTTTGAGGACCTTATGTAGTATCAGTTACTGACTTAGGGGTCAGCTGCATGCAAGACAAGTTACATAAACCTGTACTATCTCTTTGACCCTATCAAAAATAGTTATATATTTGGCATTTTGGGTCACACCAGGTGATGCTCAGGGGTTACGCATGGCTCCGCACTCAGTAATTACCCTGGTGGTTCTCAGGGAACCATATGGGATGCCAGGGATTGAACCTGGGTCAGCTTTGTACAAAGCAGAGAGATGTCCTACCCACTGAACTAACACTTTAGCTCCCCATCAAAATTTTTAATTGGTAGCAAATACTGTATTGATTTTCTATATTTAAAGAATTTATATTAAAATTATTATTATTTGCTTTTTGGATCACACCCGGCAATGCACATGGGTTACTCCTAGCTCTGCACTTAGGAATCACTCCTGGCAGTGCTCAGGGGACCATATGGGATGCTGGGAATCGAACCCAGGTCGGCTGCATGCAAGGCAAACGCCCTACCTGCTGTGCTATTGCTCCAGCCCCTAAAATTATTTTTGCTTAATGAAATTTCAGAAACAGAATGCTTGTTATAGCAGTTAGATTATTAAGCTGGAAGGTAGTTGAGAGTGATGGTAGATTTAATAGATGTCAGAGTAGATGAATAGTCAAAACCATGAAAATGACTTATGGCTCTCACTTTTAAGTTACAGTTTTTGACACAAAAATTATTAATTTGTTTACATTAAATCTTTAATGACTTAAAATCAAAATAAAGATTAAATTTAGTTAATAAGAAATTACTTAAAATTGCATTTGAAAACATTTTTGTGGGTTGAATGCTGACTACTAATTAGCTTTTGGTACATTGTTGTATTAAAAATATCTTTCAATGGCTTGTATGTAGCTGACCCATGTTCAATCCCTGACATCCCACCTGACATCCCATATGGTCCCCTGTGCACCGCCAGGAGTGATTCCTGAGTGCAGAGCCAGGAGTAACCAAACAAAACAAAACAAAAATTTATATTAAATAACTCAATAATTAGGCAGAAATAATTACTAATATTATTTTTGGGGGGAGTGCTGATTCTGATCTTTGGAAAACATTGGTGACAGGTGCAAAATATAAATACAGAATAGAATATGTAGCTTAAATAAGCTGAGATAGGAAAATGATTTCAGATCTGATTATTGTTATATTTTTTAACAGTAATATTTTATTTTTATCATCTTTTAATGGAGTTTACCCATAGATTTTAGAAAATGTTATTGGGAAAAAAACCTACACAACATCACTTTATGAAATATTTTTGTTGTAAATATATCTTCTTGGTTGACTTTAGTATTAGTACAGATGTGATACAGCTGCATGTATCACATATATAAATGAATTGATATATTACAGTGGATGAATAAAAGGCTTAATAATTTGAAAATAACTTTTTTTTAAAAAGCATGCTGTGTAAGATGGAAGTTGCTTCAAAATTTAATGAAAAATGTCATGTCCATACTGAAAAACATTGTCTTGGACTTGTTGCATATCTAACTATTAATATAGAAAAGAGAATGGTCTTAATTAAAGTCAATTTGAAATGACTTGTTAATTTGAATGGGCTGTGAATCCTATTTGAATGTAGAATTCTAGTGGCAGCTGTCTCTTTTACTTACAGTGTTATCCTAATGGATAAACTCTCAGTGCAAGAAAGTGTGTGCCAAGAATGTGACTTATGTTTGTAACCTTGAGTGACTGTTTCTGTGTCTTGATAGAGTGGCTCCATCCCCAGGGTAAAAGGATTACCCAATAGAGAAGTTATCCTGAATGTCCACAAACTGCAGTAGTGGTTGCATGTCAGCATGTGTTTTCCAATTACAAGCCCATCATCTGTGGAATCCTTTTCATCATCGTTTAGGATTTAGGGCCAACTGCTCTTTTTAAGCTGTGTTTTACTGATATGCTTAATACTGATAAATAATAGGTATTATTTAGGAACTCTCTGTATTTCAGTTATCAACTCAGTTTTACTTATATATGGTTCACTGTCCTCCTACTGTTCATCAATTTTCTTGAGCGGGCCCAGTAACTTTGTTGTTACTGTGTTTAGCATATTGAATACATCACGGGGGAGCTTGCCAGACTTTGCCATGCCGGCGAGATATACTCGGTAGCTTGCCGGGCTCTCAGAGAGGGGTAGAGGAATCGAACGCGGGTCGGCCATGTTGGCCACTTGCAAGGCAAACGCCCTACCCACTGTGCTATTTACCCCAGCCCTTTATATATGGTTATGGGTTTATATTTACATGCCAGTGGTGGATATTACTGTATTTGTTTTCCTCTTACAGAAGTAGAGGCTAAGGTGAATTTAGTAGTTAAGATATACTCCTTAAGATTTGTTATCAAGATATGTTCATTTATTCTACAAAATACAAAGATGACATAGCACTTTTTTTTCTGTTTTTTTTTTTTTTGGGGGGGGGTGCACACCCAAGCAGTACTTCGGTCTTACTCCAGGCTCTGTGCTCAGAGATCGCTCCTGGCTTTATGCTCAGAGATTACTCCTGTTGGTGCTCAGGGGACCATATGTGGTGCAGGGGATCCAACCTGGATAGACTATTTGCAAAGCAAGTACTCTCCTGCTTGCTATACTATCTTCCCGGCTCCAAGACAGACAAAATATTCTTAGTCTTATAAAAGCAGTGCATTCACAGCTTCCTTAAGCTCTTGCATAAACTAAGAAAATCTGAACTTGTGATCACAGAGTATAACCTAGTACTACTTTTTCATAGCATTTTAAATTATATTTGTAGTTTCAAGTAAATAGCAGGTTTCTTTATGTTTGTTCTTTCACAGCTTTTCTTCTTTTCATAATTCAGTTGTATTTGAGACATTCAAGAGTAGCCACTGTGTACCTGTGCATTTGTTTTTTTAGCATGTAGCCACCTTTTATTAAATATTTTGGAAGGATTTTTCTCAAAATGGGCTGGACTGACAGCAGGTAGGGCGTTTGCCTTGCATGCAGCCGACCCAGGTTTGATTCCTCCACCCCTCTCGGAGAGCCTGGCAAGCTACCGAGAGTATCCCACCTGCACAGCAGAGCCTGGCAAGCTCCCCGTAGGGTATTCAATATGCCAAAAACAGTAACAACAAGTCTCACAATGAAAATATTACTGGTGCCTGCTTGAGCAAAGGTAAAGGTAAAGGTAAAGGCCCTCCCGTTGATCATCGATTTGCTCGAGCGGGCCCAGTAACGTCTCTATTGGAGACTTTGTTGTTACTGTGCCTGGCATATCGAATACTCTCGGTAGCTTGCCGGGCTCTCCGAGAGGGGCGGAGGAATCGAACTTGGGTCGGCCATGTTGGCCGCTTGTAAGGCGAACGCCCTACCCGCTGTGCTATCGCTCCAGCCAGCTGCTTGAGCAAATCGATGAAAAATAGTAGGACAGTGCTACAGTGCTTTCTCAAAATGGTTGTCTCCAAAAGCGTAGTTTTTAGATCTTACAGAAATATCCTTAGCTTTATTTATAGGATAAAAATTTATAACTCCAGTGGGAAAAAATTTTGGAAAAGAAAGTTGAATCTTCTAGTGAGTGCAGTGTATTCATTTTGTACCAAATATTATTGAATGGAATTTGTGAATTTCAACCTGAATAGTTGCCCTTTTTGAAAGGTGTTAATGCTTTACTTGTTATCTCATTACTCTACGCAGTAGGAAGTTAAACTTATTTAAAACTGCACTACTAAATAGTTCTACAGTAGGAGTATGAGGAAGTGTAATAGAAGTTACAGTGATGGTAACAGTAAATCACTAGTCTTCAAGCACTTTACATATAGCAATTTGTTTAAGCTCTGTAGCAGTCCTTTGAGGTAACTGCTCCTTATTTTACAAAAGAAGAAAAGATGTAATTGTATGAAGGTGATTGTAGTAAGCTGGTAGTTAAGTCTGTGTATTTAGCAACTAAACCAGAGCAACTACAAAAATAAGAGAAATTCTATTTCATTTGCCTCTTAAGTTTATTTGTAGATCATTTGATTTTATTTTATAAGTAAGGCTCAATTTCATATGTATTTGTAGGGCAGCTGAATCATTTATAAAAATTTTTTACATTTTAGGGGCTGGAGTTATAGCACAGCAGGTAGGGCATTTGCCTTGCATGCCGCCAACCTGGATTCAATTGCCAGCAACCCATATGGTCCTCTGAGCACCACCAGGAGTAATTTCTGAGTGTAGAGCCAGGAGTAACTCCTGAGCATTGACGGGTATGACCCCAAAAGAAATATATATATATGTATATATATATATATATATATATATATTCAGATACATAAACCTGCTGTTGTACCATTTGCAGTTATTTTTAGTTAAAAATTTGATGCATTTGATTGAATTAATATGTTTAGATTATGGAGGTTATTTATACACAAACATAACTTGGGGGGAAATTTCTATGTTAAAGTTCTTAATATTCTTCTGGGGTACCTTCTCTCCTATGCTGATAGTTTAGAGGACATTAATATTCTTCCATTAAATCTTTTGATAAGTTATTTTGTTGTAAAAAATTGGAGTAATATAGAATTTTGAAAACAATCCAACGTCAGTGTTAAAAACATTTTGTTAAAAGAGATCATTGAGATTTTGGAAAGCAGTAACCAAGTAGTTAATAGACCAAAATGTGCATTATTTACCTTTACTCTTTATGGCATAGGGAATGAAGAACTGTGTTCCGGTGTTGGGCAGTGGGCCTTTTATGCCTGTAGGTGTTTGGTATTGCTGGCCATGAAATCTTCCGTGTACCAAGTTCAAGTACATTAGCAGCAAAAGGGCTGCTTGTGGCAACATGTTCTCCGTTGGATTCTGAAAAACAGAAAAGAACCATTTTATAGTTACTTGCCTTTTAAAATCTTATTCTATACATTTTGATGAATTCCACAAATTAATGTCGTAAGTTTTTAGTTATATGAATGTCTTGTTTTAGGAAATCACATTAAATATCAAATATTTATGAAGTGATTTTTTTTTAAGTGTTGGGGCTGGAAATACAGCAACTAGGGTGCTTGCCTTGACCCAACTTTGTTCCCAGGAATCCCATACTGTCCCCTGAGCACCACCAGGAGTGCTTCCTGAGTGCAGAGCTAAGAGTAACCTCTGAGCCCTGCTGGATGTATCCCCCAAACAAACAAATTTTTAAAAAGTATGATGGATGCCTTTGATGTGCATATTAAATGATGGGAAATATTTGACAGTATACATAGTCTCAGAATATGCACCATTAAGTTTAGAACATATTTTTAGAAACATGGTTTTATTAATCATCTTTCGTGTAGACTGATAAAGATTAAACTTTTTAGTGAAAAGCCTTTCTTTATATAGTAGCATTTGTTATATTAACTGTTGCCTTATATTTAAAATAATGGCTGAGTGACCATTCTGGTGCACCTTTTCACAAATTAAACAACAATACTTCTGAATGACACAGTATTGTAAATATTGGGGATTATTCATTGAATAATCATTAAACAGTTATTTCATAAATAACTGTTGTTAAAACTGCTTGAAAGAAATGGAGGCATTTTTGCTCCTTAAATCATTTACAATAAGCTAATTTTAATCACAAAAAGACACAATTTATTGAAGCTTGTTTCCTAATAAGTTAACATGGCAATCTGCCAATCATAGTCTTACCTCTAGCCAGGGAGTTCCTGGTGGTGCTTTCTTGGCAGCTTTCTGAGCCTTCCTTTGCCTAGGTGAATGATGCAGAAGGTGCCCTGTCCAAAGTTGTCCTGCAATATTTATACTGTTTGTCCTTGGCTACAGGAGGTTGTTCTGAGTTAAGCTCCACCCCTCAGAGGTGGAAAACACTAATTATAATGAAAAGTTCTATTGGGCAGTCAAAATCAGGTTGGGTTCTCATTTTCCTTTTTTTTTTCCAATTAAAAATTTAACTATTTGTCTTCAAAATATATTAATAATTTCAATATGAAACATTTTGTGATTTTATTTTAGAAATTTTTTTACAAATATTTATATTTGTACATGATGGTGGATTATGTATGTAATTTTGATGTAAAATATTTGGTAGTATATAAAAAAGGGAAGAAATCTTTTGGAAGGGATGTAGATTTAAACCGTCATCTGAATTCTTATTCCCACATACAGCCATCACAGTAACCACAAATGTTCATAAATTTTTATAATAACCTTCCTTATATTTAGGCTTGAGAAAATGATGAAAAATGTGAAAAATATGATATGCTGCTATGTATTTGAGGATTTTATTGTTAGTCTTTAGTTAATAAATTTAAAATATGGTAGTATATGATCATTTTAAATTTTTACGCATCAAATAGCTTAAATTTTTCACACAGGCAAGACATCTGTAGATCTAATAGTAGCATTAGCAATACAGTTATCTTGAAGGATGTAGAGTTTTTTTTTTAGTACTATATTCTGTATTCAATAAACAGCTTTTTTTTTTTTTTGCTTTTTGGGTCACACCCAGCGATGCTCAGGGGTTACTCCTGGCTCATACACTCAGGAATCACTCCTGGCGGTGCTTGGGGGGACCATATGGGATGTTGGGAATCGAACCTGTGTCGACCATGTTGGCTGCGTGCAAGGCAAACGCGCTACCCGCTGTGCTATTGCTCCAGCCCCAACAGCTTTCATTTTTATTACTTAATCTTGAATTTTGAAATTGCAAGAGATAGCAAAAGTCTTTAACTTGATAATATTTATTTATACATATTTATACACATATATATTAAGTATATATGCGTGTATATGTATATTTAAATAAGGTTATATATTTATTTCAGGAGAAAAAAATTAATTTGATTCCACCTTTTTATAAATATCGACTTACCTTGGAATTTCCTTCAGAAATCTTGAATCAATCCAGTTTATAAACACTTTTCTCCAGAGATTAAAGTAGGCATTATCATTGTCATTTTCAGTGGTTGATATTTTTCTAAATGCAATTAGGAGATTCTCGAAATCACCTTTTAGGTTTGTTCCTCAAGCCCAGGTTCTCCGTTGAACATACATCTCACTTGCCTCTCTGTCTCTTGGCTTGCTTTCTCTGACCCCTATTCTCTCTTGAACACGTATCTTTCTTACTTATCTCTTATCTATGTGGTCTTGCTCCTTCAGTCCCATGCTCTCCTGGAATATTTCTTCCTATGTCTCTGCTTGCTCTTTCAAGCCTGTGTTCTCTCTTAAACATATATTTCTTTCCTTCTCCCTCACTCACATCTTTTTAAGTAATTTTTGTTCATAAAAATCTATCTTGCTTCACACACACACACACACACACACACACAATTTTTAGGATCCAAAAGACAGGAGTTAGAGAGTCCACAGTTTATATCTTCTTTCACCACTTTGATCTAAATGAAAGTTATATATATGAATGGTCATGGTCACGGTCCTCCCGTTGTTCATCGATTTGCTCGAGCGGGCCCAGTAACGTCTCCATCATGAGACTTGTTACTGTGTTTGGCATATCGAATATGTCATGGTAGCTTGCCAGGCTCTGCCGTGCGGGCGAGATACTCTCGGAGGGGTGGAGGAATCGAACTCGGGTCGACCATGTTGGCCGCTTGTAAGGCAAACACCCTACTGCTGTGCTATCGCTCCAGCCCTATATATGTGAACAAAGTATTAAATTCTCTTAAATAGGCATAGATACATCTTTTTCTAACATCTGTGAAACAAAAGTAATAGGAATTCATAATTGAACAATAGTTGAAATAATTTCATGTTTAACCAGTGGATGAGATATGAATCTATTCTTTTTCTTTTTCCTTCTCACATCCACACATAATTTTATGTATTTTAAATAAAGTCTTACATAACAGTCTGTACAAATATAATTGTTCTCATTTCTCTGCCTCTCTTTCTCTTAACTCTCATTTTCAAATCTTTTGTTGGTTGTTATATTTTAAAATTGACATTATCACATATCTGTATAATACTCAAACACATGAAGTATGGTTTTTATATCTGTTTATATTAACAGTCATTATGAATATATTATTAATTATTTAGAAGTTATGAAGTAACAATTATAATATGGAATCTGCTACATTTGTAATACTATGAAAGATCAGTGGGAAATGCCTGTCTTTCATCTTGTGGTTCATTCGGATCAGATTTTGAAAAAGTAGGTAAAGTAAAATGGATGCTCTTGAATCTGGAATAATAGGTATTGTTTTGAAAGGAGTAATTAGAAATATTATGTATTCTAAATAAAAATATATTCCAGTATTTTCTGTGCATATATATAGTTCCACACTGCACATACCTATATGTTTGTTTATATTTGCTAAATCTCACTAATGTGAATGTCAGAAGATAATTCCTCAGCTTTTCATTTTGTGCTCCTGTGTAAGCGATTTGTTCATCTGTTGCTGTTCCATCTGTTTTCAGAGCTTTTCATCACAATCTTGCAGTCTGTTTTATCATCTATATGGTGAAAAGTTTCAACTGCGTCTTAAAGCTCCTACCTTTAAAACTATTCTTGTGCCTAAGGTATTCTATACTCCTTGGTTAGGCAGTGAACTTGGCTCCTCTTGTGCTTTCTAAAGACAAAATCCATACCAGATGGTTGTAAATAAAAATATGTGGGTATTAGTCATTTTGCTTTTCCCCAGTAACTTTGAAAACGTCGTAGTGTCTGAATAAGCCTTGGGCGTCCAGCCCTTTTTGCAAATACTGTATCTATTTCAGCACAGGGAATCTGACTACTGTTTGCTTTGTTAGTCACACAAGAAGCACTGTCTTCTCCAAAACAGATTGTAGAATAAGAGTATTTGCTAGCCACACCCACCCAATTGTGTATTTAAAGCTATTTTTATTCTCTAAGAGTTCATTTGTAGCTTTGAAAGAGACTACTCTGACTTTATGATGAAAACCCATTTCACCTAAAATGGAAAACCTTGCTCTTTAAACTTAAGTAACTTAATGATTTTTTAATATCAAACAGGTATGATGGGTTTTGTACATTCAGTATTTAGCTGGTGTTTAGGCTTAGCCTGTTCATTTTTACTTCATTCATTTACAAATATTCAATCAGGCACAGAGATAAAAACGTAACACCCTCCTTTCAAAGTGTTTGAGCAGTCATTATCAGCCTTCTTCCTCTCCTTTTTCCACAGTACTAAAGAATGTGGCACAGTTTATTCATCTCGTCATTCTTCTTTAAGATAGTTACAGTTCAGAAACTATTTTGAAAGCTCATTAAGTGATCATGTGAACTCCTAAGTGAAATGTCTTAGTCTGGGCTTGCTCTCTCCGACCTGTGTTCTCTCTTGAATACATATCTTGCTTGCTTGTCTCTATGTCTCTTATCTGTATGGACTTGTTCTTCAAGTCTGTATTCTCCTTTGTGTGTATATACACACACACACACACACACACACACACACACACACACATATATGTCTATGTCTTTTTGCTTGCCTGCTGGCTGGCTTGCTCTTTTAAGCCCACGTTCTCTCCCTTAAACACATATTTTTTCAATTTTTCTCCCCTCACATCTTTCTAATTAAATTTTGTTCGATAGAAATAATCTTGTCCTAAAAAAAAAGTCTTGCCTCAATGTTTGTTGTTTTTTTTTTTTTTTGCTTTTCGGGTCACACCCAGCTATGCACAGGAGTTACTCCTGGTTCATGCACTCAGGAATTACTCCTGGTGGTGCTCGGGGGACCCTATGGGATGCTGGGAATCGAACCTAGATCGGCTGCGTACAAGGCAAACACCCTACCCGCTGTGCTATTGCTCCAGCCCCAGCCTCAATGTTTTATTTCTAGATTGTTAACGTTAGCTATATAATTTTTTAGTTTATATAAAGG